TTACCTTTTACATTTAGATCCATGATTTGACTGGAATTGATTTTTTGTTGGTGTGAGGTAGAGGGAATAAAATCTTTAAATTTATATTCTTTGTTCCTTGGCAGGGGGAAAAAATAGAAGTAAGTCATAGTCCATAGTCCTCTTTTAAAATTTTTGTGTTTTTTTTTTTACATTTCTGATTTCAGATCTATTTTAAAATTTTATTGGTAAACTCTTATTATAATTCTTTATACCCTGACACACAGGGTGCCCTGATGTTTTGAGTTCTTTTCCATTGTTCAGATCCTGGTGAATTTAGACAATTGCTAATTTTAATTATTCTTATTATTGATACAGTGATAATTATGGAAATCTTCTACTGATTTTATTTTCAGAAATTCTCAGGCTTGAAGTGATACCTGTAAATATATGCGTCTCTGTCAAGTAAACAGTTTTAAAAACTCTTTCCATTTATTTGAGTCTTAGTAATGATCATCTTTGTCATTTTTAACACACTTTTGATGTTTAATTTCTCTGCATTGGTGCCGCTAACTTCTGTGGAGAACTTTATTTTTCACTTCCTGGCTTAGTTATTAAAGTTTGTATCACACAGAAGATTAACTAAGATTACTATTTAGTGGTGGACTGTGGTCATGTGGGTGCTGGAGGGCAGAGACATTTTCTATTTTATTTATTACTGTGTTGCAAATGTGAGCAACAGGTCTGCTTTTTCTACTCCAAGGTGCCTCACGCTACCATTTTTGTATAGTGTGTTCAGTAATGTTTTTGTCGTTATCATAAAGCCTATGTTTATTTACTACCACAATTGAAAATAATTTGATTTAGATTTCTGCTTCCGCTCTCTCATTATAGAGTTTAACTTGTTTACCGTCTTGGTATCCTAAAATTCCCAGTTGCCTTACATATTTTTATATTGTTTTGTATTACCCAATCTAGCCAGATTTTTTTTTTAAGGTGGGAAAGCTAAGAATGGCTTTTACATTTTTTAGTAGTTCTATTTTACACGGTTAGTACTACCTGCATAACAGTTTTGATTTGCCTCTTGGCCCCCAAAGTCCACAGTGTTTACTATCTGACCCTGTATACTTTCCCTAGGTTCAGTTTTCAGCAAGGGACCTCTTTGCATGTGGGCAGGTCAAAATGCTCTTCTGAAATAAATAATAGAATAATAAGGAACTGAAACAACTCAACGTTTAAAAAGAATGTGAGTTTAGAAATGGGCAAATGGTCTGACTAGACATTCTGAAAAGACATACAAATGACTAACAGGTATATGAAAAAATACCATCACTAGTCTTCAGGAAAATACAAATCAAAACCACAATGAGGTATCTCACCCCAGTTAAATGGTTTGTATCAAAAGAAACAAAAATAGGAGAATGTGGAGAAGGGAACTCTTAAATATTATTGGTGGGGCTGTAAATTAGTACGACAATTACAGAAAATAGTTTGTAAGTTTCTTAAAAAGCTAAACGTAGAGCCACCGTATGATCCAGCAATTTCACTGCTGAGTATCTATTCAACAGAAAGGAAATCAGTATATTGAAGAGATACCTTCACTCACATTTACTGCGGCACTGTCCACAATAGCCAAGCTATAGAATCAACCTAAGTGTCCATCAGTCCATTGACAGGCAAATGGGTAAAGCAAATGCGGTATATATACACACAGTTTGGTATATATACACAAAAGCAAATATACTATTCATTCATAAAAAAGAATGAAATCTTGTCATTTGCAGCAATGTGTATGAGCCTGGAAGTCATTTTGTTCAGTGAAATAAGCCAGGTACAGAGTGACAAATAGTGTGTATTTTCACTCATATGTGGGAACTGAAAAAGTTGATCGCACGGAGTTAGCAAGTAAAATGGTCAATACCAGAGGCTGGGAAGGGAAGGATCTGGGAAGAGGGGGTGAAGAGATGTTGGCTAGTGAGTACACAAATATAGATAGAAGGAGTAAATTCTGATGTTCGATAGCATGGTAGGATGACTGTAGTTATCAATAATTTATTGCATATTTCATATTTCCCAATTACTTTTATTTGGTCATTATATATTGTATGTATGGATCAAAATATTACATGTATGGCATCAATATGTACAGTTATTATGTATCAATAAAAACATGTTGAGGAAAAAATGCCCCTGTGGAATCAGTGCCCTGTGTGACCAGTGACAGAGGTACTCATGCCTTTCTTCAGTCCTTGTTGCCCTCTGTTTCAACATCTTGTTTCTTTTTCATTCTATGTCACATTTATTTGGCTATTGAAAAATATGTTTCTTTTGAATTTTAACTTATTATTTGTTTAGATAAGTGTCTCGCTCTGTTGCCCAGGTTGGAGTGCAGTGGTGCCATCTCAGCTCACTGCAGCCTCAACCTCCCTAGCTCAAGTGATCCTCCTACCTCAGCCTCTCGAGTAGTTGGGATTATAGGCGCACAGCACCATGCCTGGCTAATGTTTTTATTTTTGTTTTTTGGAGAGATGGATATCACTGTGTTGCTCAGGCTGGTTTCGAACTCCTGGCCTCAAGCAATCCTCTTGCCTTGAGCCTCCCAAAACTCGGAAATTAGAGGCATGAGTCACTGTGCCTGGCCAGAAATAACTGATTTCTTTCCAATTTGAATGCCATATAGAGTATATTTTGAGAACAAAATTGGCTCTAGTCAAATGTTTTATTTGATGATATCCAGCTCCCTGTGTTGTTACTCTCTGCCAAGGGCTATGGAAGGCACTTTTACCGCCTTTGTTCTACCCCTTCTCCAACCTCCCTGAGATGATTAGAGGAGTCTCCATTTTCTAGTGAGGTAACTGCCCCAAGTCTTACAGCTGGTAAATGGCAATGTGTTATTGAACATTTCCTGCAGTCATCTAAAGCAGACAAAGAGTTGAGAAGCTAACTAAATATTGAAAATTTATCCTGTTATTAGTTCTGTACTGGAATAGAAGCTTTTCATTGAAATTGGATGAAAATAGGTTTAGTCTCACTAGCATCGAACTGATTTTCATTGTCTCAACATTTCTTTGAATTTCCCCATAATATTTTAGACTTTTAACAGAATGCAAATATTTTGAGGCCATGTATTACAGACTAGTGTTACGGTCATCTCACAAAGGCAAATTGCTCAGAATTGGTCCTGATAGGCTTTTCTCTGGTCTTTTCCCTTCTGTGTACTTAATTTATAGACTGCAGGGCCTCAAAGGACTGGAACTGTGTTCTGCCGATTCCTGTATATCCATGACTTGGCACCGTGCCTGGTCGTGGCAGGTACTCAGCATTTGTCAAGTAAATGGGTGAATTGTAAGTTTGCGGCTCATCGGAGTACAGGGGAGTCGTTTAGCTGGAATTCAGTTTCCTGTGTTCTCAGCTTTGCTTCCCACTTACTGAGATTTTTTCATTAGCTGTTCAGCATCTTGATATGATCTTTTTAGATCTATAATTGTAGATTGTGAACTTCTGATTCTTCCCTGGGAAAATTTGCCCCTTCCTTTCCTGCTCTATTGAGGTCATCTTCCATTTCCTTGTCTGGATGTCACCTATTCTTTCTTTCTTTTTTTTTTTAATCTAGCTTTTCTTGTTTCAGATACTTTGTTAATAAGAACTTCCTACATGGAGGTAAATCCACTGTGGGCTCCTTCCTTATTCAGTAGTCACATTTTAGCTTTAAGAGCACAGAAAGAGAATTTAGTGAAGAGATCTGGTTAACCTCCAGCTTTGGTTCCTACAGCCTCAGTTATCTGGCATGACAGCCAGGGTGGAGGTGTTTTTCCAGCTTGCTCTGGTCCTTTTTAAAGAGAGTAGCTTTAAGATGCCCATTGTTCTCATTTCAGAGAGGCAGTTGTATTTGGGAGCAGGGACTTGGCAACCAAGCTACTTTGAATCTAATCCTTAAGGCATGTAACTTCTGTGCCTCAGGTTTTTAACTTACAAAATGGGGCTAATATAACATACTTACCTCATACAGTTATGGTGCTGGACACAGTCAATGCTGGGATTATGGTAAATGTTCTATAAGTGGCATGCTGTTATTGCTTATTTGTTATTTTAAATTATTTTTCTTTTGAGAAAGGGTCTTGGTATGTGGCCCAGACTGGAGTGCAGTGGTGCTATCTCGGATCACTGCAGCCTTGACCTCCTGGGCTCAAGCAGTCCCCCACCTCAGCCTACTGAGTAGCTGGGACTACAGGTGCATACCATCATGCCTGTCTAATTTTTAAAAATATACTTTTTATAGAAGTGGGATCTCCTTGTATTGCCCATGGTGGTCTCAAGCTCCTGGGCTCACGCCATCTGTCCACCTCAGCCTCTCAAAGTGCTGGGATTACAGGTGTGAGCCACTGTGCTCGGCTATTTATTGATTTTTGGGCTCTTACAATGCTCTCCCTCTTTGCTGCCATAACTGTGCCATACTTCATCAAACATTGTTATGATATGGGTGTACATGTGTCTCCCCTGTGATTTTCACCTCTTCAGGGAGAGGAACCATGTTTTGTCTTATCATATCTCCAGTGCCCTATGCAGTATATGGTCCATTTGTATTTGAGGAACTTGAAGTTGAACTTGACTACACATAGAGAGGTGTCTTTGGGCTTTGTAGACTCAAAGATACTGCTCTCATTATGTGTGATCAGCTAGTGAATATGTATAGTGATAACTGAGCTTAAATGGCATTGAAAAGGATGAAGTCCGGTTATCCTTTCTGAATTGTCCAAATATAGGGGGTTCCTTTCTCTTTTACCCTCATAGCAGAGTCACCATTCCAGTTTATAAAGTAGATGGTCCACTGTAAAATGAGGGTATGCCATAAGCAGTTAACACAATAGAAGTTAGGAAAGCAGAGTGTTAGGAAAACAGCATGAAACATTAATCTGAATAAAATAGAGAGACATAAGGGCCAGAGTTTTTGTTTATTGATATGTTTTGGTCACTCAAAAAAATCTCAGTAGTTAAATGTCGAGAGAAGTGCTGCTAGAATGAATCTTTCTTTTTGCACCTAGGATTTGACGGGATCTGAACTATACACCCAGGCGGCCAGCCTCCTGCATCCTATGGTTTATACTACTGCTATCATTCTCCTCTTATGTCTCTTAGCCGTCATTGTCAGTTACATATACCATCACAGGTAAGAAATACAGCTTGACAAACTAGATCCACGGACTTTGATTCGAAGGACTTTATTTCACATGTAATTTGGATAAAAGTGAGTTTGTTACCATGCTGTGTTTCCAAAGTAAGGACGATTACTTTAGAATACATTCATGCCTTCTTCATTTTGTGCAATTAGAGACACACATAATTAGTATTTGGGATGATAAATTCAATTTTTACAGTATCTAGTCTGTTTGCTGCGTTCATATCTAGAAAAGAATATGGGAAATATATGTTGGAGACTGTGGGGCCGCTCACAGGAGCAACAGGATGTAAAGTAAGGCAGACGTTTCTTACCTGCAGAGGCACCTAAAGAGGCATCTCTAGGTATCAGACTATTATTATTACTCTTATTTTATGACTTTTTGCCTATTATGATAGTCTTTATTTTACAGATGGCATTTTAAAGAAAGTTTGTGCCATTTAAGCATGGGATATTTTTTTTGTTAATTGGAGGCAAAGCTACAGAAACTTGTATTTTGTGGTAGGAAATAATGAACTAAAAGGATTTGCTAAGCAGAAGTTCACTTTATACAGTGTTTTGCTAGAATGGATTTTCCTTTTTGAGCTAGACATATGTGGCATTTCTTGACATTTAGTTAAGAAACAAAAGATTTGAGATATATATATGAGAGACTTCACCATTTCATTATGAAAGTCCAGGAAGAAATGCATTGAGTTTTAGACCTATGCCAGTAGTTCAAAAAAAGACCCATTTGTGTGGTGCAGAAGTCTGTAGGTAGCCAAGCAGGTAATCCAGTCATCTTAAGACATCATAGTAATAAAAACCCAGGTATTTCTTTCTTTCTTTTTTTTGTTTTTTCTCAGAGTCTCACTCTCTCACCCAGGCTGGAGTGTGGTGGTGTGATCTGGGCTTACCACAACCTCCACCTCCCAGGTTTGACAATTCTTCTGCCTCAGCCTCCCAAGTAGCTGGGTTTAAAGGCACGTGCCACCACACCTGGCTAATTTTTATATTTTTAGTAGAGATAGGGTTTCACCATGTTAGCCAGGCTGGTCTTGAACTCCTGACCTCTTGATCTGCCCGCCTCGGCCTCCCAAAGTGCTGGGATTACAGGTGTGAGCCACCGTGCCCAGCCAAGCCCATGTGTTTCTTATTGTGGAGAATTTATTTAGCATTTAGTGGATGCTATGGTTCCATACATGACTTTTTTTTTTAAGTGCATAAAGTTGAATGTTAAGAAACTAGATTGAGCTAAATGATTCCTCAGATCTGTGTATGTATGTGTGTGTGTGTTTGGTAGCATATGTTTGTTAAATAAAATGTTTAAATATAAAATATTTAATTTTTGCCTTTTATGCAGTTGGAATTAAGATGCACATCATAGTTTCCTCCTTCATAGGTACTAGACTGAATATTAATATTTTCTCTCTTCTTTAAACAGTTTGATTAGAATCAGCCTCAAGAGCTGGCACATGCTTGTGAACTTGTGCTTTCATATTTTCCTAACCTGTGTGGTCTTTGTGGGAGGAATAACCCAGACCAGGAATGCCAGCGTCTGCCAAGCAGTAAGTCAGAGTGAAAAATTGAAATGGAAACAATTACTGGTATTAGAAAATAATTTCATTAACTATAAAAAGAAAAAAATTATTCTTTACATTTAACTTTAATCAGTTAAAGAAAAGGTGTTAATGTCTGTCACTTAAATAATTTGCCAGTGAACTTCGTGTTTTAAATTACCACTTTGCAACTAAATGTGTAACTTCAACAGCTCATCCCTTTATTATTGGGAATTCAGAATTACACATTATAGCTATTGCTACAATGCCTATTATTTATTTTTAAAATTATAAAATTCTGACTTTGGCTGAAAGAGAAGTGATGTTTTCTGATAGTAGAATTTAAAAATTATTTTATGCGCTAATGAGCACATCCAAATTGGAAAAAAGTTAACTGTAAAGATATAAAAATAGCACTAGGTTAGATAATATGAAGAATTAAAAAAATTCTACTCTTAGTTTCCAATAAATTATTGCATATGTAGCCTTAGTGAACAGTTTTCTTGCAGCATAAATATAAAAATGGAAACTCTTCAATATATGAATAGAAAATATGGAAAATTTTATTTCTGTGTTTTATTTTTCACCTGCATGAGAGCAAGACGTTTAACAGTAATTGAAAGTTCAGGCGGCCTGGATTTGGATATCAGTTTACAATTTACTGGCTGTGTTTCTGTGGGCGATCTGTTTAACCTTTCTTTTTTTTTTTTTTTTTTTTGCTTTTAAAACTGTGATTAAAAAACACATAACATGTGATCTACTCTGAAAGCAAATTGTTCATTGTGCAGTAAAATATTTTTACCCGTAAACACAATGTTACAGAGCAGGTACCTAGAACTTTTCATCTTGTATGATTGAAACTCAGTATGCATTGAACAATGACTACCCTTTTCTTCTCCCCCAGTCCTGTGGCAATCCCCATTCTCTTCTTGGCTTCTATGATCTTGACTGCTTTAGATACTGCATATAAGTGTGGTCATGCAGTATTTATCCTTCTATTACTTAATTTCATTTAGCATAAAGTTTCAAGGTTCATCTATGTTGGTGAATATGATTTTCCTCTTTTATTTTGGCTGAATAATACTCCATTGTATGTAGAGACCATGTTTTCTTTATTTGTTGTTGATGGACCTACAAGTTATTTATATCTCTTGGCTACTGTGAGTAATGCTTCAGGGAATGCAAGAGTGTGGGTATCTCTTTGAGATTTTGATTTTAATGTGTTATTCTTCTGTGTCTCAGCTTTCTCACCTATAAATTGGGAATGATAATGGAGTTGGATGATGTGATTATTTATATTAAAAAGCTAATTTCCACAAAATTACTTAGAAGTAATAGGAGAGTTTAGCAAAGAGCGGCTGCTAGTATGCAGAAATACAACTGTGAGAAAACATAATGAGAAGGTAGCATTTACATAGTGTCAAAGACTATCAGGTACCTAGAAATAATGAAAGATGTTCAAGATTTACGGGTTAAATTAAAATATGTATTAAAGAAGACCTAAATAAATGGAAAGATATAATAGATGAAAGGATAGGAAGACTTAATATCAGCAAGATGGCAGTCCTTCTAAGATTAATCTGTAGAACTCTTTATGAAACTCAGTAAGATGATTTTTAAATTTATGTGAAAATAAATGGCTAAAGAAAGACAAGACACTGATGAAAAGGAGGAGCAGAGCCAGAAGACTGTCTTCTAGTCATCAGTGTTTATGAGGCTTTGGAAATTAAACCAGTGTGATAATAGCTGTAAGCAGAGATCAATTGGCCAATCGGATAGAATAGAGAGTCCAGAGGCAGACCATGGGAACTCTGACATTCAACAGAGGGAATGTGCCTTGTCACCTGGGGAAGAGAGACCACCATTCAGTAAATGGAGCCAGAGAAAGTCCATTTGGAAAAAGGTTAAACTGTGTCTATACCTCATGCCACATTAAAAAAAAAGTCAACTATAGGTTTTTTAAAGACTTACATATCCAAGCCAACATCTTAAAATCCTTTTAAAAAAATGTTGGAGACCTTAAGATAAAGAAGGCCAATCAGACAGTGAAAGCCATCCACTAGAAAAGAGGTAACTGTGACTAAAAATAAGAACTCAGGTTTATCGAGAGTTCTTAAAGAGGCTTATCAAAAGATAAGTTACAAATTGGAGGAATCTATTGACAGTCCATGCAACTAACAGAGCATTCGAGTAAAAAATATATCAATAGCTGTAATTGGTGATAACGCTACAACCGGAAGAAAAAGTAGCAAGAGAATGGACAAGCATGTCATAGAAGAGCGAACTCACAGGGCCAGCACATGTGCAGAAATGCTCAACACCATGGGGGGCCTGGAGATGCCAGTGAAGGCAATTAGTTACCATTTTATGGCTTTTCTGTCAGCAAAAATTAAGCCTGACAATCCCAAGTCTTGATGAACATATGAACCCACAGGATCCTTTTATATAGTTGGTGGGAATGTAAGTGGACATCCTCTTGGGGGGGCATTGCCTTCTATAGTAATGTGTTAATATACTCTGGAACCCAGCAGGCCCACTCCTGACCTCAGAGAGTAACCTTGCTGGTGTGCACATGAATAGGAGTATAGATATGAATATTCATTGCAGCACTGTACATAATATCAAAAACCTGGAAGCAACCCAAATGCCCAACACAGAGAGTGAACAAACAAATTCTATGGTATTATACAAGTGTCAGAACCAATGAATTATAGCAATGCAGAATAGCACAAATTAGTTTTAAGTGAAAAGTAAGCCCTATAAATTAAAATTCACCATGTTTTTCTTTAATGTAAAGGTACAAATCACCAAAGCAGGCAGCCCACTTTTAACAAAAAAATAGGTGCAATAAAACTATAAAAGAGAAAGCAAGGGAGTGATGAACAGAGGATGTGGGGTGATGATACGTAGTCTATAGTAGGGTGATAGTTACCTCTGATGAGGGGGTCGTATGATTAGATACAGGTTATTGACAAGGTCCTGCCTTGTGTCTTGCTGGTAGATTCATGGATGAGTATCATACTATTAATAATAACTAATTAAATAAAGGCATGCTGTGCTTGGCTCACTCATTAGAATGTGTCATGATACTGTGGCTTATGATTAATCCATAATTGTATACCTGAGATCCAATTTAAAATGTAGGTACATAGGAATATTTGAGAGGATTAAATGACTCAAGCATCTCAAGAGAACCAGTCATATGCTGACTGTTCAATAAATGTTTCCTGTTACCATTATTATATTAGTATTGATGAAATTACCTCTCATCTGTGTAGTATGTTTCTGTTTTAGGCTATTACTATACATTTGTAAACAAACTACCTATAAGAAGTCAGATGATGGGTTTCAGATCAGCTAAATCCATGTATAGAAGATAGCTCCTCGGTGTTCTCAGTCTTTCTCCCCTTCTTCATGTGGCTGACTCCCACTTACCTTATGGATTTCACTTTATCGATCTGAGATGGGTAGTTTAATTGACTCACAGTTCCACATGGCTGGGAGGCCTCAAAATCATGGGGGAAGGCATAGGAAGAGCGAAGTCATGTCTTTCATGGCAGCAGGCAAGAGAGAGCATGTGCAGGGACCTCCCTTTTATAAAAACCATCATATCTCGTTAAAGTTATTCACGATCAGGAGAACAGCATGGGAAAGATTGGCCCTCATGGTTCAGTTACCTCCCACTTGGTTCCTCCCACAACAGATGAGAAGTACAGGAGCTACAGTTCAAGATTTGGGTGGGGACACAACTAAACCGCCTTAGTTCCTTACTAAAATTCCATGCTGCCTACAAAACTTTATGATTTACTGTTTACGCTCTCTGAACCGTAAGCTCTCCCTGGACTCCATGTTTTACAAGCATAAGAATTATAATAGTTGATTCACTGGTGTTTATCCACGGACCAGCACAACACCTGACCCATAGTAGGTGCTGAGCAAATGTTTGCTGGATGAATGAACAAAAGAAGCCCTTGTTTGCACATAGTAGAAGGCATTCAAACCTGGAGCCATTTTGAGCATAGACTCTATTAGAAGAGTACTCAGCACACATTGGCAATAAAGGTCTCCATTTTATCTCAAAGTATGCATTGATTTCATGAAGCAGACACATAAATTTATTTCACTAAGGAAATGAATAGAAAGAAGCCATTGTAAAGATGACTGCCTTTCATTGTCCTGAGTGGAATTTTATACCATTTCTTTTCTTTTCTTTTTTTTGAGACGGAGTCTTGCTCTGTCACCCAGTGGCACGATCTCGGCTCACTACATCCTCTGCCTCCCAGGTTCAAGCAATTCTTCTGCTTCAGCCTCCCAAGTAGCTTGGACTACAGGCGTGTGCCACTACGCCCAGCTAATTTTTATATTTTTAGTAGAGACAGGGTTTCACCATATTGGTCAGGCTGATCTCAAACTCCTAACCTCGTGATCTGTCTGCCAGTGCCTCCCAAAGTGCTGGGATTACAGGCATGAGCCACTGTGTCTGGCTGCATTTCTAAATGGAAAAAGAGAGGAATTGCAATGAGTTTTTAGGGCTTCAAGAACAAATGCCATTAAAGATTTACAAAAGAAAAGGGAAAGGCCAGCCTAGATGTTTCACAGTTGTTTTCTTCTGTGTTTATAATGTGCTTCCCTTCGATGAAAGACATAGCATCATTCTTGTGTTTCTCACTCAGACATTCCTTGCTTCACTTTGCCATTGTAATACTCAATTCAGGTAATCAGCAGCTGAGCACAGAGTGGTAGAATGTAGGATTCCAGATCCTAGTAGGTAGGTTCTAATTTTGTGTCTGCCGGAACAACTTATGTTAATAGTCTCTTAACCTAGTAGGGGCTTAAAGTTTCTTCTATAAAACAATGGGTCAGCTAGTTAATTGATTGTTAAAGTTCTTCCCTCTCAGAAACTGAGCCCTCATGTGCACATGTTTTTATGTGCAGTTTGTATTTGTACATAATCCATGGCATTTTGTCTTTATTACCTCCCTTTGCGAGCTCACATGTTTTATGAACAGTATTAATGGGTCATAATATAGTTTCTCCCACGCAGTGATTGCTTGAGGTTATTAAAGGTGCTGCCAGCCAGGTACTTCTCACTCTTCTCACTCTGGTTCCTGAGTTCATTTCAGGTAGGATCTTAGGTGCTCTCTCCGGCCTTTAACTCTCTTTTGCTATGGGTGCTGAGCGAAAACCAAAAAGTTGAGTGAGGAAGTGCAAGGGCCATTGACTCGAGCCTGGAAGGGAGCTGTGTTCTGGTTCATGATATGCTGCCAAATAATTGGTGGCTACATTTTTGGTCCTTGGTTTTCTTAACCATGCAGTGAGAGGATTCAGCTGGATCTTATGTAAGATACCTTGTTGTTCCACCACTCCATGATTAAATTCATTAAATACAGTGCCAGCCACCCTTGTCAGGTGCCCTTGAGATCTGTTATTTAGAGGATCGCTGCAATGGCACAAGAGATATATTTGGAAAAATCTAATCAGTGAATATTAAGACCATTCTACTTGCCAACTGCTGTGCATGTGTTATGTCTTAACTTTCATATTAGCCCTAGGAGGTAGTTTTTCTTCATATATTTTATAACTATATAAATTGAATCATAGACAATTGAAATAACTTGCCCTGGGTCACTCGGGCCATTAGGTGGAAGAGGCATGATTCAAAAGTAGTCTGTTTGATTCTGAGTGCCTCTCAGCCCCGTCACTATGCTTTAGTACTTAGTAGAGGCCAGCGTAGGAGAGTAGAAAGGGCAAGGACTTTGGAACCATCTAACCTGAATTTGAATCATAGCTGTGCTACTGACCGTGTGATCTCTGGTAGATGACTTCTCTCAGTCTTAGTCTGTGTTTTTGTGTCTCAAGGTTAACACTGACCTCATGATGATGGTAAAAGGATAAAGTGAAATCACATGCAAGAATACATTTTTTAATACATAGCAGGCATTTATTAATGTAAGCTGTTAAAATTTTAGTTATGTGTTCATTGTCTATATGTTTGTATTCATCACAAAGTTTGTTTTGCACAGTTGCTATGTATGAGGCACTGCTGTAGGCTTATTGGTGGTTAAATGAACTCTAATATGTGAGAGTTTATAGTTAGATAACAAACATATAGAGTGGAACTTTTTTGGATAATTATTTTACACCCATGTTACAACTTTGGAAATTAGCTTCCCGAGGTAAGCTGGCTTTCTTGAGTAATAATCTACTGCATTTAACTAATTATTTACATGCCTTATGAATTGGATTACTTCTAAACAATTTACAGAATTTCCATGTCCATCTCTGATTTATTTGGAAGAAAATGTGATAGCAAGGTTGTACTTCATGGAGACGAAGTGTCAGATGGAGAATACAATAGGAAGTACTACATTCCAAAAGACAGGAAAATCTTTCCTACTAGATATCAGTCACTCCTTTTTTTTCTGAATATTTTAGAGTGTTTAGTGATTTGCTTTCGTGACTGTGCTAGCAATGTCATCATACTCCTCAATTCCACCACTGGTAATAATCAGGCTTCAGTATCTTTAAGAGTAAACTTCCTCTGGAAATTTAGAAATGCCATAGAAAATACTTCAGTGCCTATAGATGGTTTTTTTTTCCCCCCGTGGAAAGTTCTTTGACACCTCCTGTGTTGAAGTTCTCTGTTTTTGCTTATGTATTTGCGGCTCATTCTTTGGACCTTTGTGTTAGAGACACCTCCAGCAAGAGCAGAGTTGGCCATTTTGAGTCAGTATCTGATTTGTTTTGAATTTATTGGTTTCTATGCATCAAATTCATTTATACTGTTTTTACTTACATTATTTGGTATGACATTAGATAGTTCAATGGGTTATTTTATGCTTTCTGTTCCATTTCTGTCTATAAATTTGGCTTTCGCAGTGCAGTCAGCAAGACTAATGGGAACCAAGAAGCGGCTTTTCTCTTCAAGAACACTTCTGAGTTTTGTAGTTGGGCCAATCTTGATCCTCCCTTCCAGCACCTCCAGAGGCATTGCAAGGTTTATCTGGAGAGGGAAGACCCCGGTTTTCCCCTGCAAAATAAGATTGGGGCTTCTGGGTCATCAAGTTTTTGCTGCAGATTGGTTCTCATTAAAATAAACTCTGGACAGTCGTCCATGTTCTTGTTATTATTATTATTACTTTGAAAAGGAGTCTTGCTCTGTCACCCAGGCTGGAGTGCAGTGGCTCAATTTTAGCTCACTGCAACATCTGCCTCTCTGGTTCAAGTGATTCTCCAGAGTAGCTGGGGCTACAGGTGTGCGCCCCCATGCCTGGCTAAATTTTTGTATTTTTGGTAGAGACAGGGTTTCACCATATGGGCCAGGCTGGTGTTGAACTCCTGACCTCATGATCTGCCCGCCTCATGCCTCCCTGGGCCATGTTTTTATTATTGACCTTTGATTTTCTTGAGGTTGGAAAGGCATCCCTTTAGAATGACAAATTTTTTCTTGGATTTTTGTTAACAGAATTTTACCTGTAATAATTATGTAAAAAACAAGTGATTAGAAAACAGAGTAAGTTACTAGTTAAGAAAGCTGGATTGTGTCGTTGATACTACAGTGACATAGGACGTTTACTTTTCTTAAATTAAAATTTAAGCCTCTCTTATTTTCTCACATCTTCACTTAGGTTTTTATTCTCAACTAGAGTTGTTTCATATACAGGTCATTTGATAAACAGAAACTTAAGACATACATCATGTGCATGTATTGCTGTCATCTTATACTTACTGAGTACCTATTATATCCCAGGTATTGTGCCCATTCAATTTCTATGAAACTTCAGAGGTGACGATTGGTAATTTTCCCACTATTAAATTGAGGAAAGTTAATTTTAGGGAGGTTACATTATTTCTTCCAAATCACATTTTAATAGGAAATAATATAGTTTTTTTCTGCTAATTGCTTGCCACATACTAGGTGATTTGCTAAATGCTTAATGTCGACTATCTTACTTATCCCCATAGTATTTTTACATTATTCTTGGTTCCCAAGTGTGGAAGCCAACATTTTACCTGTTATGTGACTTTGCTCAGGTCACCTAGCAGGCAAGAGGTGGATACCACTTTAAAAACCAAGGAAAATTTGATTCTGAGTTCACCCTCTTAACCATCGATATATTATTATATTGCTTCATCAGTGCTGCAGTTATACAAGCTCTGGATTAGATCTCAGTCTCTTACTCTGCAACTTACTCTCTGTGTGTTGTGGCTTTCACCCAGTAGTTACCTGTACCCTCTATATATTCCTCCTTAAAAAGAATTTTAGAAAATGAACTCTAGACTGGGCATGGTTGCTCATGCCTGTAATCCCAGCACTTTGGGAGGCTGAGGTGGGTGGATCACCTGAGGTCAGGAGTTTGAGACCAGCCTGGCCAACATGGCGAAACCCTGTTGGGCATTGTGGCCCAGGCTTGTGATCCCAGCTACTTGGAAGGCTGAGGCAGGAGAATCCCTTGAACCTGGGAGGCAGAGGTTGCAGTGAGCCAAGACGCCACTGCACTCCAGCCTGGGTGACAGCAAGGTTCGGTCTCAAAAACAGAAAATGAACTCTAATTTATAATGTGGCATTTATAAAAAACACGCTTTTGGTTTAATGTTCTGTCCTGTATTAAAGGTCATCTTGGGTATAAGTGGTAGTTTGTGAGCTTCATAGAGCCAGGTGTTGGTTTGTGTATTTGAGGAACGTGATCCCCTGTCATGCTTCTGTTAGAATGTGGTGTTGCATTAGCAGGCGACAGAGTTGATTATTAGGATAGGCCTTCCTGCTGCTTTTGAATCATACTTCTGAAAGTTACTTACCAATTTTTAGATAAGCCTTAGTGGAAATGTGTGTATATATATATATATTTTGAGATGGAGTCTCGCTCTGTCGCCTGGCCTGGGGTGCAGTGGCACGATCTGGGCTTACTGCCACTTCTGCCTCCCGGGTTCAAGCAATGCTCCTGCCTCAGCCTCCTGATTACAGGTGTGCATCACTACGCCTGACTAATTTTTGTACTTTTTCTATTTTTAGTAGCGATGGGTTTTACCATGTTTGCCAAGCTGGTCTAGAACTCCTGACCTTGTGATCCACCCGTCTCGGCCTCCCAAAGTGCTGGGATTATAGGCATGAGCCACTTTGCCCGGCCCATTTTTTTCTTTTAATTTATGTATTCTTTGATTTTCCTTGTAGGTTGGGATAATTCTTCACTATTCCACCCTTGCCACAGTACTATGGATAGGAGTGACCGCTCGAAATATCTACAAACAAGTCACTAAAAAAGCTAAAAGGTGCCAGGATCCTGATGAACCACCACCTCCACCAAGACCAATGCTCAGGTATCTCATATCTTCGTTGTATTACCTTAAAGGTGAACTAAGTGTTTTGATTGCTTTCACTGATGCATCATTATAAATCATAATGAAATTGCTGAGTGAATTATGGGAAGTCAAAGAATGGATTTATATGCAGCAGAGCCTGGTTTTGAAAATGGCTTACACATCCTCTGAGCTGCAAGTCCTCAGTCAACTTCTGTGCCCTCTCTGAGCCTTCCATGCCATGCTCATCTCAAAAGGGGCTGATTCTTTCATCCTACAGTTGTGAGGAGTAAATGAGGAAATGGGCAAAGCACTTAAGATGGTATTGGCCATCTAAGAGGCACTATGAAAATATCAGCTGTTTTTATTTCCTTGAGGTCCTATGTCATAGGTTTTAATCTGCTCAAGTATGTATCAACTTAATTATTCTGTGCAAAGGACAAAAATACTTGTAGTATGTATTTTCCTATCCATTATAACATGAAAAATTGTAAATGGATTATCCTGCTAGATGAATAAAATCTATCAGTGAGGACCAGGCTTATTGAATGCCTGATATGTAACTGGCCCTGGGCCAGGGATTTAGAGAAGACCCCCTTGCCCTTCAGGAGTTTATAGTTTGCAGGAGGAGCAGACTGGGCTGTGTGAGAAGTGTAGTGGAGATAGGTTCTTTGAAAGTGCAAAAGAAGAAGCCCTTAATGTTGGGGTTGTGGTGTTAGGAAATGCTGGACCAGTGGCACAAACCTTACTGTGATCAAGACAGAGTGTAAAAGTAACACTTCCAAATAGAAGAGTGAGCAGAGGAAACCTTGAGAAATGCAGTTTGGTTGGAGCCTCGGGTGTATTTGGTGTTAAGTAGCAGAAATCAAGGAAGCAACCTGGCTTTGAGGTGTTGTGGATCCTATTTAAAATGTGGGCAACCACTGTTGATTTTTTTTTTTTTTTGAGACAGTCTTGCTCTGTCACCAGGCTTGAGTGCAGTGGCGTGATCTCTGCCTCACTGCAACCTCTGCCTCCCAGGTTGAAGCGATTCTCCTGCCTCCTGAGTAGCTGGGAATACGGCCATGTAACACCATGCCCAGCTAATTTTTGTATTTTTAGTAGAGACGGGGCTTCACCATGTTGGCCAGGATGGTCTCGATCTCTTGACCTCGTGATCCACCCACCTTGGACTCCCAGAGTGCTGGGATTACAGGTGAGAGCCACCGCGCCCAGCCTACTGAGGATTTTTAACTAAGGGAGTGGCCTGAGACAGTGTCATTTTAGGATAGCTATGGCTCTAGTATGAAGTATAAATCAGAATACCCAAGAATAAGGTTATTAGGGCAGCCCCTATGAAGGTCAGAACAGTGTCAGGGAAAACAGAGAGGAGGACACATGTTTGAGAGGCTTGAGGCAATTTCTCTAGGGTTGATGTCCAGCTGGACTTAAGAGATGTGAGAGGGAGAGAAGTTTGAAGGTGGCTGCAAGTTGTCTATGCTAGCCTAGCTAGTATGCCTGGATAGATGGGGTTTCCATCAACTGAGAAATAAGATAGGCAAAACAGAAAGGGCAGGTGGGTGGGGGAGACGGGGAGAGGGGGGACAGGGTGCTAGGCTCATCAATACTTTCTTGTGGAATGTTTACATTTTTAGAAGTTCAGGGCTTAGCAGAGAGGACAAGCCAGACGTTGTCTAGGAGGAGCAGGAGACATTTCCTTATGTGGTAATTGAAGCCATGATAATGAACAGGATCTCCCAGGGAGAAGATAGTTAAGAAAAGAATGATACTCGGACCACATTAATGTTTAATAGATGGGTTGTGGAAAAATCACTGGATTTTTGGCCGTGGAAAGAGAACACCCACGAACATGGAAGACTTTGGGGAGAGTGGTTCTGTGTTTGACAAGGAGCAGCAGGGGGGGTGCTCGGTGGCCCCAGACTTACATTCTAGGATGAGATTTGACACCTCCCTCACTTCTATTAAAAGAAAGGAGAGAAGGTGGTGTTTTGGCTCAGAAACTTGGGAATCTCAACCTGAAGCAGCTGTTCCTTCCTATAAGGTTCTGAGAACAAAGATAACGAGTTAAGGAAAAGGCAGCTTGGGTTTCAGCCGCTCTGCAGTCCCCAGATGACACACAAGCATCCTCTTTGCATTAGACAGCTTAAGCTCCGCCCTCTAGCCCTGCTTTCCCCGTATCCTTGAGTTTAAGGAAACCTGAGCAACACTGCTGCCTGGAGGGTGGGACACAGGATTTGCCCATGAGTCTCTTCTGACCCCAAAGAGGGCGTTTTTAGTATCATGGTGGTGAGTGGGTGCAGCTGACAATAAGGTGGTAAAGGCAAGGAAGTTGTAGTACCAGTGTTTGCAGAGGGAAGAGAGAAAAGAAGTGGTAGTTCAAGGAAAGTTTTAGAAGATGGGGAAACTTGGGAAAAAAAAAATATATATATATATATATATACATAAAGCTGGAAATAAGAACCAGTACAGAAGACTTTAAAGATGTAAAATAGGGTTATTTGATAACAGAAAGACTGGGGAGCCAGGGGGAGGTGAAACAAGAGTCACAGAGAGGGTGATAGAACCCAAGATTAATTTTGGAAATAATGTTTTTTTTTCCCCCGGTAACAAGCAGATATGAATTAGCATAGCAGGAAGAAGGGGACGATCACATATTATTGGCATCTCTGTAATGTGGAATAGAGGGCAGAGTTAGAGTTTTATAGGGTAATTAGTTTTCTTTTCAGCAGTTCTAACAATATGTTAAAGGATTTTAGTAACAAGGTACGACGAAGGAGCAATATATGGACAGATGTATCACAGATATTGCCTTTATCCACCCAACACAAGATTTGGGGCTCTGTCTCAGGAAGGAGCAGATGCAAAATTAAGATTCTGACTCCCCAGGAGTATCCATCTGGATGGAAATTTCTTTTCAGAGAGATCAAGGAGCTCAGAGATGACCACAAAGTTTTTCTTTGTAGGACCAGTCACTGCTCTGTTTCAGTAGTTTTTATTGCACCATCATTTCCCTTGTTCTCCCCAGCTACTCTGTGGAGAAGGGGTCAAGCAGGGGCTTTGCACTCTGTGAAGCTGCTGCGATCCAGATACTTCCTTGCCTCAATCTCAGAAGACTGGGAATGAGATACGCAGTAGTGGGAGGTCCTGGGACATGCAGGCCGAGCTGAAAATTAATCAGTAATTAATATGCCATTACTTTTTTAGTATGAATGATGGCACTTTTTAGTTCACCTACTGAATCTAAAAGAAGCCAGTTACCCCTTAAAAAAAAAAAAAAGCTGAACTACTTGCAGGCACAGAGTGTTACTTTGCCTGTCCACAAGGTGGCAGAAGCTGATCAGCTTTCCTCTCCTTGGAAACAGTGCTTTAAAACGAGAAATCTATAAAAACAAAACAAAAACACATTACTGCTAATAAATCAGCCTCCCCCAACTTAACTCTCAACTTACTATTGGAATAAAAATAATAACTAATCTTCAGGGAATTAGTTTTGAAGTACTGAGATATTATGATAGATACATGTTAAAAAATGGAATGATGGGTGGTATTTCCTGTGATTCCTCTTTTTAGGTTTTACCTGATTGGTGGTGGTATCCCCATCATCGTTTGTGGCATAACCGCAGCAGCGAACATTAGGAATTATGGTAGTCGGCCAAATGCACCCTAGTGAGTATTTTATATTCTCTGTGTACTTGACCCAGTTGCTTCTCTTTTAAGTATTTTCTAGTTATTAGGTGATTGCAGTTTCTTAAATAATTTGTTGAAACATGTAGCATCTGACCTGGTTTATCATTTTCTTTTCCAGTTGCTGGATGGCGTGGGAACCCTCCTTGGGAGCCTTCTACGGGCCTGCCAGCTTCATCACTTTTGTAAACTGCATGTACTTTTTGAGCATATTTATTCAGTTGAAAAGACACCCTGAGCGCAAATATGAGCTTAAGGAGCCCACGGAGGAGCAACAGAGATTGGCAGCCAATGAAAATGGCGAAATAAATCATCAGGATTCAATGTCTTTGTCTCTGATTTCTACATCGGTCTTGGAAAATGAGCACACTTTTCATTCTCAGCTTTTGGGGGCCAGCCTTACTTTGCTCTTATATGTTGCATTGTGGATGTTTGGGGCCTTGGCTGTTTCTTTGTATTACCCTTTGGATTTGGTTTTTAGCTTCGTTTTTGGAGCCACATGTTTAAGCTTCAGTGCGTTCTTCATGGTCCACCATTGTGTTAATAGGGAGGATGTGAGACTTGCGTGGATCATGACTTGCTGCCCAGGACGGAGCTCCTATTCAGTGCAAGTCAACGTCCAGCCCCCCGACTCTAGCGGGACAAACGGAGAGGCTCCCAAGTGCCCCAATAGCAGCGCAGAGTCTTCATGCACAAACAAAAGTGCTTCAAGCTTCAAAAATTCCTCCCAGGGCTGCAAATTAACAAACTTGCAGGCAGCTGCAGCTCAGTGCCATGCCAATTCTTTACCTTTGAACACACCTCAGCTCGATAATAGTCAGACAGAACATTCGATGGACAATGATATTAAAATGCACGTGGCGCCTTTAGAAGTTCAGTTTCGAACAAATGTGCACTCGAGCCGCCATCATAAAAACAGAAGTAAAGGACACCGGGCAAGCCGACTCACAGTATTGAGAGAATACGCCTATGATGTCCCAACAAGCGTGGAAGGGAGCGTCCAGAATGGCTTACCTAAAAGCCGGCTGGGCAGTAACGAAGGACACTCAAGGAGCCGAAGAGCATATTTAGCCTACAGAGAGAGACAGTACAACCCACCGCAGCAAGACAGCAGTGATGCTTGTAGCACACTTCCCAAAAGCAGCAGAAATTTTGAAAAGCCAGTTTCAACCAGTAGTAAAAAAGATATGTTAAGGAAGCCAGCTGTGGTTGAACTTGAAAATCAGCAGAAGTCTTATGGCCTCAACCTGGCCATTCAGAATGGACCAATTAAAAGCAATGGGCAGGAGGGACCCTTGCTCGGTACCGATGGCACCGGCAATGTTAGGACTGGATTATGGAAACACGAAACTACTGTGTAACATTGCTGGACTTCCTGGCCAGAAATTCATATAAACTGGGATATTCACATTCCTTTAACCTATGAACACTTAAAAACTGTTTACAACCACCATAGGGATTCAAAAGAATTTGGAATAAACTTTGAAGTTTTGGATTTTACTTATTTTTATCCCCAAATTGTTACTATTTTTTAGGCTCTGAAAACAAAACATCTTTCTAAAACATTGTTTTAGTTGTCAAAGCACCGACAGGACATTTTGAGATCTGAAATGTAATTCCTTGGAATCCACAATGTGTACTTAACATTTCAGGCTTGTATTTAATATAATAAATAGGTGTTTGTTACTGTGTCAGTCTGTTATTTTTATGGTTTACAATACAAGCATTTAGTTCTATTTTAATGAAATCAGTGGTTTGAGGTATTTTAATGAGTTACACATAAATCAAAATCAGTTATATAACATGGTTAAGTGTATTGATTATGGCATGTAAATCAAAGTGGTTTTTTGGTTGCTGTATTTTATAAGTCTAGTTTTAAATGCTACCAAGTTTTTTTGTTTTGTTTCGTTTGTGTGTGTGTGTGTATGTGACTGAGTCTTACTCTGTCACCAGTGCAGTGGTGTGACCTTAGCTCACTGCAACCTCCGCCTATTGGGTTCAAGCAATTCATCTGCCTCAGCCTCCTGAGCAACTGAGACTACAGGCACCTGCCACTACACCTGGATAATTTTTGCATTTTTAGTAGAGATAGCGTTTCACCATGTTGGCCAGGATGGTCTCAATCTCCACCTCGTGACCCGCTTGGCTTGGCCTCCTGAAGTGCTAGGATTACAAGCGTGAGCCACCTACCACCATGTTTTAAAAGGATCTCTCAGGATGTTTTTTGAAAATGGAAATAACCTCAACCCCCCCCCACCTTACATTACTTCCGCATTATTCCTTGGATCCTATTAATATTATTTTCAAAATGGTTGTGGCTTTTTCATTGCTTTGTATTTGGGTTTAAGTTCCTTACTCTTTTTGGTGGGGCGAGGTGGGAGTAATTCCTGCACAAAAGTTATTCTTGAATGCAAAGGAGGAGCTACCGTATGAGGTTCACATTCTTCAATATTGGCTATTATATTGACTTTTATTTTGTACTTAAACAGGTAAAGTTCCTTAGATTTATGATGAAGTGCTGATCTTTAAATCTGATTCAAAAATTCTAAAAACAGCTCTGCTGCAAAAGTTATTGGTCTTCACTACACTGCAGTCTAACCCATCTCCACTCCTGAGTCTCACGGGGTTCTCAGTTCCCTTGCATGCAAGACAAAGTCTGCAAAATTGACACAGCTTAGATCTCTTTTCACCAGAAGACTAAAGGTCTGAATCACATCAGATTCGAAAGTACATATTCAAGAAATGCCAAAAAGAGTCAAGCCGTTTAGCTTGATAACCTTAAAATTCTGAGAGATTAACTGCTTCTATCCAGAGAACAATTCTCTGAGCCATCATGAGATTACCCATTCTAGTGTAAATGTTCATTTTTCACTGGGTTACTGTATTGGAAATGTTATTTTACTTGACGCTAATAAAATCGATAGTTCTTTTTAAGCCTTTTAGGTTTGAGTTTTAGAGACATTCTTTTCTGGTGGGGGAATAAAGCAACCAGTAGTTAGATTTGGATATACATCCTGGCTTATGATCTGGTAAATTGATATGTACAAGATGGTATTTGGAAATGACGAAGATAGAGTAATGAGAAATGGAGTGAATAATTCTTATTTATCACTATGATTTAAAAATTTTTTAAATTTGTTTGACCTGTTGGTCAGCGGTACATAGGGAGATAATTTTCTTGTTCTTCTTTTTCCTACCTCTGTATCGAACATGAGGAATTTTCCTTCCTGGAAGATGTTACCCATTCAGCAAGCATTTATTAATTTAAACATCACTTATTTTAGGTAATAGAACACTAGTTGGGGGAGGGGGAAGGACTGGAAAATAAATCAAACACTTGGAAGAAGATGAAGATTTCACTAAATGTTCAAGGGGATTTTGTTACTCATAGCATGGAAAGTGATGTATGATCACTTAGTATTTCAATTAGAGTTTTGATATTTGTATATAGCAAGTGAGTAATATATTGCCCCCCCTTTGTCATTTATGATTTATAGCTGAGTTTCTCAATTTTTCATAGAATTGTAAACTTAACAGAGGTTTCAGTTTTCTTAGATATCAGCATGATTATTTTCCTATTTACAAAATTTGACAACTGAGATCCAAAGCATTTCTGACTTGCTGGACATGCTGGCAGTTATACCATGTCCAGGGCTAGAACCATGTTTTACCAAGGCCGCCATGCTTGGAAACACATTTCGTTGCTTCTATGGTGTTTGTTATCTGTAATTGTAGCAGACTTTATTCTTATCCTCGTTGTTTTGAGTTTTAGTTTCATAATAAGGTATAATTGACTATGTTCTACTTAAGGAAACATTTATGATACTTTTATTTATGACAGTTTCTTTTTTTCTCTGTTGCCCAGGCTGGAGTGCAGTGGTGGGATCATAGTTCACTGTAACCTTGAGCTGTTGGGCTCAAGCATTCCTCCCACCTCAGCCTCCTGAGTGGCTAGAACTACAGGTACAAGCCAACAGCTCAGCCATTTTTATATTTATATTTGTAGAGATGAGTCTTACTATGTTGCCCTGGCTGGTTTCAAACTCCTGGCCTCAGCGATCCTCCCACCCTTGCTTCCCAAATTGTTGAGATTACGGATGGGAGCCACTGAGCCCAGCCAAAAGGTATTTTCTTAATGTAAACATTATATCTACAGATTATATACATAATGTTATATACTAATCTCCTTTTTACGTAACAATTAAATTTGTGTATGAATATTTTTGTGACTAGATTTATATACTAATGTAAATGTATATTAATATTTCAGGTCATTAATAGGTGGCAGCTGGTTTCTAAATTTCAGGATATTTTAGAAAAATGTAACATAACTATGTTCAAAATATTTATATTAGTAATATATACAGATGGCAACTTAGGTATAGATGCCGATTGGAATCTATACATAGGTCTCGTTATAGAGTAGTAATAGTGTTAGAACAGACGTGTTTCAAGTATTGAGTTCAGAATTCCTAAACTGAATTTGCTTGAGAACATAAAAAATTAAGAAGTAAAAACATTAACTGAAAACATCTTATGCAGAAATTAAACCAAGTCATCAAGGAAAGTGAGGCATGCAACAGCAATCCAAAATTTAAAACAAATCTTAATTCTGTTTTGTTTTTGTTTTTGGATTCCAGTAATTATTTAGTTATTTTAATATTGACCTCAGTGCTTTTATCTGAGAGGTCATTTGATTGTTCATAATGTTCATAATCAGTGTTTTCCAAACTTGAGTAATTCCATCACTTTTGCTAATTTTGTTACGTTTCTCAACACCTGTATTAATGCTGTCGCATGGATTATTGCTTATATTGGAATATAAGCAATAATAAACTCGATTTATTTGTGTAAACAAAGCAAACTCCTTGAGATATTTTTCATTGTAATCTGCCAGTGCTAAAAATATGACAGCATGTTTCTGGGGCTTAGACAACGGTGATACTGTAACCAATAAAATTCTATTTTTTGTTTTTTTTAGTTTTGGTATAAACTCTCTTGAATCCTTCTAACCTACTCAGATCAGTTTATAGCCATGTCTTTTATTGACCATTGGAAGCTCCTAGGTAGTGGTCATAACTGGGCTATGGGAGACATTGATTGATAAACATGTACAGTGTATATTAACTTAGTTGTTGTAGGCTGATAAAGGTGGTCTTTCCACCTTTGTAGAGCTGACCCAGCTTTGTATTATGTGAGGCCCCAGGCAGCCTTTGGTAAAGCTTTTTCCCAGCCTCCTTTCACTGGAGATGCCAGATGCTTAGAAGTACATACTGAGTGTGAATTTACAGGACCGTAGTATTAAGAAACTCACATTTATAGAGTCAGTGATGGAGATAGACCACTACCTTCTCTCATAAAGTTGAATGCTTAGAATTAGTTATTGGCCAAAATCTCATTAAATTTCTGTTCAGTGAACTTGTTTCATGCTTCTTGAAACACATATTGACCTAATTGGATCATATTTACAAAATGGTAGGAGAAATGAGTGTGCGTATGTATGCATATTTAATTTATTATTTGCTTCTGCTATCTGGTTTAAGAAGATAGGGATGAAGATTATTATCAGGTATTTTCAGAAAGTTCAAAATGTTTTCAGAAGACTCTTAAGATGTATTCCAAAGAATCCAGCTAATCACATCATCAATTTTGTAATCATTGTATTCACCCTGTTTTGGCGGATAATACTGATGAAAGTTTGCTTTTTTTTTTTTTTTTTTTGTGACGGAGTTTCGCTCCTGTTACCCAGGCTGGAGTGCAATGGCGTGATCTCGGCTCACCGCAACCTCCGCCTCCTGGGTTCAGGCAATTCTGCTGCCTCAGCCTCCTGAGTAGCTGGGATTACAGGCATGTGCTACTATGCCCAGCTAATTTTTTGTATTTTTAGTAGAGATGGGTTTCACCATGTTGACCAAGATGGTCTAGATCTCTTGACCTCGTGATCCACCTGCCTCAGCCTCCCGAAGTGCTGGGATTACAGGATTGAGCCACTGCGCCCGGCCCGAAGGTTTGCTTTTATGGATAAATTTCAATTGTTCTAATTAGGACCTATATTTGCAAGACTTGATTGCTTGCAAAACTGGGCTTGGTCATGAATACTGTGAAAGGAAATTTAATCTCAGGAATCCCAAATCACAAAGCCAAAGGGAAAAGTCAAGCTGGGAACTGCATGGGACAAACCAGACTCCCGTTCTGTTCCTAAAATAGGATAGTTATGAAGATAAAAAAGCTACATACTTCCCTCACAATTTGGCCACAAGGAAATTCCTTGTGGACAAAGGACAAACAGAACTTAAAGTCATCCCTCCACTCATGTGAGACAAAGGCATATCTAATTGCTTTTTTTGCCCTGTTGTTTCACTAAGCCAGACTAAGGCATAAGTGATTATTTCTGTAAATTGTGTATTCAGTGAAAGGCTAATCGGAAATTCAAAAGAATGCAATAGTTTGTGTCTCTTATCTACCTATGACCTGGAAGCCCCCTCCTGGCTTTCCAGACTGAGTTGTCTCACCTTTTCAGACCAAACCAATGTACATCTTACACATACTGATTGATATCTAATGTGTCCCTAAAATGTGAAAAATCAAGCTGTACCCCTACCACTTTGGACACATGTAATCAGGACCTGCTGAGGTTTGTTATGGGCGCATCCTTAATATTAGCAAAATAAACTTTCTAAGTTAACTGAGACCT